CCCGCCACAACGCCCGGCTGTTTTTGTTTTTTTGGTTGCAGCCGTCATTGTTGTTTTGGCGGGCCAGGCTGGATTTGAACCCGCCACCTTAGGTGTATGTGGCTGGTGCGTTAGCCACTTGAGCCACAGGCACCGAGCCAGTCTCTGAATCCTTATAGAAATTGCTTTATGAGACACAATTATAAGAGGGACTTTATCTAACAAATGCAATCAGTGTAACCTAATTCTTTGTCCCCTCAATGAATCCTAAACAATATAAAAAACTAAAAAGCAAAAAAAATTTGCTCAGTGGCTCATGTCTGTAGTCCTAGCACTCTGGAAGGCAGAGGTGGATGGATCACCTCTAGACCCCATCTCTACTAAAAATAGAAAAACTAACTGGGCATTGTGGCAGATTCCTATAGTCCCAGATACTTGGGAGGCTGAGGCAAGAGGATTGCTCAAGCCCGTGAGTTTGAGGTTGTTGTGACTTATGACTCCACAGCACTCTAGCCTGGGTGAGAGAGTGAGACTCTGTCTTTAAAAAAAAAAAAAAGAATTACTGCAATACTCAGAATAAAGGCAATGCAAATCCAAAATACTGTGAACGCACAGTGCTGGTTCTACTGCAGGTAAACAGACACACATGTGGGCATATAAAACACTGCAGTCTGGCTCTGGGGATGGTGTACCAATAATGGAGCACTGTATTGGTGCCTTGCATGCCAAGCTGAGCAAAGATCTCTGCTGGAAAAAAGCTAAGATCCAAAACTTGTGTTTTATTTATTTATTTTTTCCAAGACAGAGCCTCAAGCTGTCACCCTGTGTAGAGCGCTGTGGCATCACAGCTCACAGCAACCTTCAACTCCTGGGCTCAAGGAATTCCCGTGCCTCTGCCTCCCAAGTAGCTGGGACCACAGGTGCCCCTCACAACATCCCACTACTTTTTGGTTGCAGCTGTCATTGTTGTTTGGCAGGCCTGGGCTAGATTCAAATCCACTAGCTCAGGTGTATGTGGCTGGCGTCTTAGCCACTTGAGCCACAGGCGCTGAGCTCCAAACTTATGTTTTAAAAATGGAGAGATAGGCTCAGCACCTGTGGCTCAAGTGGCTAAGGCGCCAGCCACATATACCTAAGGTGGCGGGTTCGAATCCAGCCCGGGCCCGCCAAAACAACAATTGACGGCTGCAACCAAAAAATAGCCGGGCATTGTGGCGGGTGCCTGTGGTCCCCGCTACTTGGGAGGCTGAGGCAGGAAACTTGCTTGAGCCCAGGAGTTGGAGGTTGCTGTGAG